TGCCTCAAGTGTTGTTACCGGAGTTTTCTTTGGCTGTTTTGCTTTCCATCTTCTATGAAGCGCTTTCGACTTTACTAGATAGAGCTCCAGTGCTCTTGAAGATGCCCTTCGTGCCGAAACTCTTCTCAGCAGCCTGCTGAGACGACCTACAATGTCTTCGTTGCTTTCACATCCATACATTTGGGGGTTTCGAACCCACACAACATTTTTGTCTTGAAGCAAGCAACGGATCTCCACCTTTTCATGACACAAAAGGTGGAACTTGGCTGTCAGCGCAAACCCCGTGTACTGGCATTGGTGCTGCGATAAAAAGGCACATCCGTTATAGTGTCGGACAAACAAATGCATCTGTTTGTACAGGTACGCACCACACTCTTTGTTGAGCCACAGGTTGTGGCTGTAGCAAACTCGTTGAAACTCTCGAGCTGCTGAGGCTGCAGCCATCATTTGTTTGAGAACTGGCAAATGTTCAGCTTTCAAAGGTGCATTCACAAAGCCCACCAACATAGTATGGATCCATGCTAGCACATGGGCCGTGTCACTGCCCTTGCAGTTGATCCACCCAAAAGAGTTCCAGGTGGGGCTGTTGAAGAAAGACAATGAAAAACTCCTCAACGCTGGAATACGCCTTGTTGTCTCGCAGAACAGCCTGAAGTGTGAGTAAGCCCGGTTCAACAAAGTGTCCCGGGCATTGCTTTGCCCACTGAGGTCAAAGTAGTGCAACTTTGCCAACAACAGGATGCACGAAGCTGCAAAGTATCTAAAGACACCTTGCTTAGTGTTGTGAAAGAGGTCCCGCCTCAAGAAACGCTCATGGGGGACATCCACAACATCAACATCATTGGGAGGTTGATGCTCAAAAGGGACATGAAGCAGCACTGGCCGAACAGTATACGGTCGTTTTGTGTAGGATGTCCTCTCCCACAGTGGGTAGTGACTGGAATCCTCGAATGGCATGGCAGCAGTGCCAGCACAGCCGTCTCTACATAGTAGAGAGTGACCTTTTGGTAGGTGTCCCTCCTGCAATGGAAAGGTTGCTGTGAAATCAAGTTGGATGAGATTGAAAAAGCATAAAGTCACGTCACTTTCAGGCGCAAGCAGAAAGACTTTTGAAGAAACTCTGCCGGGCGCCTCAGCAACTTGTGTGGCTGCGAGCGGCAGTGCTTCTTGATCGCTTCAATCCGCTGCCTCATGTGAGCAAGACTTGTTTAGGAACCTGGTTGTGGGGAACCGTTTCAGAGCCATATTCCAAGCAAAAAGGTAAACCAGTGTCAAGGAACTCTGACCAACCCCACTCTTCCATGGCGGCTTCGGAGACGAACTGCCCCTCGACCACAACTTCACACTCGGTCATTTCGCTCTTCAGGATTTCCACCTCACAGACAAAGGTTTCCTCAGCCGTCCATGCAAGGTACTTAGCGAAGAACCCGGAATTGATAGGGCCTCCCAAGTAATGTTTGAAATCATAGGTTTTAGGCTCCCACCCTTTTACAACCAAATCCAGGTAAAGCAAAGAAACAATTACTGTGTTTAGACATGTTTCGGGATCGTATCCGCATTGCCGGAAAATATCTTCAAGTAGCCGACGAGCCTTCCCTTTGCCCTTCCAATCGTTCCAGATCTCATCTGAAACTTTCTTGGACCCATCAGCTCGGGGGGTGAAGATTCTTTTGGCTCTACTGCGGATAGCTTCCGGGGACAGATGATGTTCTCCAACCCGGGGTTTCGGGGCGAAAGCATCGTGAATGTCTGGGATCATCGCCTCATCCTTAAATGGCTCAGGCTGAAACTCTGGAATAACTGGCTGTTCACGTTGGCTTCCATCATTGCAAGAAGTGGGGGACATGTCACGGTACTGCTTTCCTTGGCCTGGTGTCAATGAATCTGATACTCCCGGAGTATCAGCCACTGTTGAGGGAAGAGGACTGCTGCGTTCTTCGTGGGCAGGACCTGAAGATGGTTTGGCTAATGAAGCAGCAGCCATGCCACCCTTGGAACCAGCCCGGTTTGCAATCCATTCCTCATCACTATCACCCCAACCCTGCCCCAGAGATGCTGCTGGACTTGTGGTTGGAGAACCGCGTGGCCTTGCCAAGGCCTGGAATGCCTGCTGAGGAGAAGCCACTGCCATTAGATCACCAGGGATGGTCTCGGCTTCGTAACATGCAAAGACTTAATAAACTCAATTTGGGCACCCGGTTCTTTGCGGTAGTCATGAACCGCCTGATGCCGTGGTTGAAGAGGACTTTCAATCCATATGCGTCCAAGTGCACAAGCTTCTCGTCTCTAGTATACCCCATAGTCTCTCTCAATGCTGCCACCTTTGCAGGGATGCAACAATGGGGAGAGAATTGGGACATAGTTTGGCATAGCTTGGTGACAACCAAAGAACCCATCAAATCTAGCTGGACTTCCCGAAGTATGGGGTTTTCAACACATGTTCCAAATCCACACCTCTTTTCGCATCATTGGGATTGTGATTGCTGTCACACCCGCTGGGTTCCGTGGGCACCACCAAAGTGCCATCAGCTCCAAAGGAGCATGGTTGAGCGCCATCGCTTTGCAACTTTTGACCCCAACTGCACTGCCTGAAAGCCATTGGGTCACCTGACCTGTTGACCGCAATCTATTGCGGATCCTTTGGTCCCCCTCAAGCACCGCGGCAAGAGAAAGATCCATTGGAGGATTGCTAAAGTCAGGTTCACCCATCTTGACGTGGCACGTCGAACCAGCGGTTAGAATGCTTGAGCCAAGAAGTAGCCTAATCATACCAACCATGCGCACGGCCAGTCCAATCCAACCAATCATTCCTGAACCAACATGCCAAACTAAGTAGCAGCTGTCACCACCTGGAACCCCGCAACACCCATCCACGTACAATCCCATCGACTCCATTCGGGCGCACTTGGAGGCCAGACTTCGTGAGCGGTGGCCATTGCTTTCACCATGATGCCGGAGGGCACCAGGCATGAGAAGAGTAAAGGTACGGTTATTTTGACATCAACTTGGCAGAAACCAGTGTTTCACCAGAGTGTTGGGATCTATGAGGCCTGTACTGTCTCAAAGACTGATCATGATCTGGTGAAAGAATTGGGATAGATTGTTGATACAGTTCGAGCTGCCCATACCATTTGGGCGACTGATGCGACAGGCCTGAATCGAGCGAAGGAAAATGGACAGGATGATCGAAAACTGTGGAAAACCAAGAAACGCTCCTGAATCCAAAAAAGGTTCTCATCACTGGAAAAGCACTTATGTGCCTAACAACCAAAATTCTGAGGGTCTGTGAGGTTGTAGGTATTAGATGATTACAGTTCTTGTTTGATTACCTCAGTGGGTTGTTCATGGTGCCCCGCGTCTTTGAGTCATGGTCATTGGTGACGAGGACTCTAGTCAAAAGATCGAACACCAAACAACGAACCTCATGTTCAAACTGCTGCAGGAAGAAGACCTGCAATTGGAGTCACATGGATCTTTCAAACACAGCTTGAGCAAGACCTGTTAGTTAACGAGGCTCGCAAATGAACCACTCCCCATGCCATCCAAGTAGCTCTTTGTTCCACGCCAAAGACGCGCAACACCACACCAAGCGCACGCGTAGATCGCAGAGCTCGAGCGCAGGACGAGCTCGTGAAGATGGGCCTCTTGGAAGGTCGTTCGAGGGGAACCATGGAGTTCGATGTCTTGTCACGAGCCATGACACCACCCTGATGAGGACCCAATATCTTGTGAGGACCATCCAGCACCCATCCAAGAGCTGTTGATGCATAAATCTTGTGGCCCTTTTGTAGAGGGTTCAGGCTCAGGGGGCGGTCTACTGCCCAACACGCCGGAAGCGCCGCCGCCTGCGCCTGCGCCACCCGAGGCTTGAAGCCTCGTGCTTTCGGCTTGGTGAAACAACTTGCAGACCTCAAGGCGGCAGCAGAAGCTTGGCTGTCGGGACCATGCTTCGGTGATGTGGCTCTGGGTCATGGCATCCTTGGCCCCTAGGTTGACCCACCCCACACATTAACCAGCGTCCTCTAGAAGGGAGGTCAACCACCAATGGGATGTGTTCGGTGTCCATGGAGACGTGCGGGGATGGGAATGAGGGCTTTGTTCGGGCGTTGTTCGGCGTAAGGCTTGGATGACATGTTTATGGGTAGTGCATGTCTTTCACATCCAACGACAGGATTCAGGATGTTCCGGAAACGCTTGGATCTTGGACTTGGGTGAAGGATCTTTTTGTAATCCCAGCGGAACCTTGAAAGGGAAGGAAGGCAGTTCCACATCCACAGATGTCCTCCCAATCACAGAAGTGGGTTGCATTGTCTCCTTTCCTCTACATACAAACAGAAGACGGTCCACTTCCGCAGTTCGATCTTGGACTGTCCTCGCCACATGTCGTGACTGTCCCACGCGGTGATGGTCCGACCCTGCGGGTCTCAGGAGACATGGGCAGCTTGCCAAGAAAACTCCACCGGAGTCAACGAGACCTGCAAGACCTTGGCGCCTTGGTAGTAGAAGTGGGTGGTGTGAGGTTCAGTAAGGTAAAGTTCCATAAAGTTCCTGTTTGCTTTTTTGTTGAGTATATCTTAAATACAAAAGTATAATAGTTGTTATCCGTGGTTCATGTGTTTTTTAATGATGAATCGTGGTGTTGAGTATTGTGACTGTGTTTTGTTTTTCGACATTGGAAGGTTTGTGTTTGAAAGGACTGAATTAGTTCAAGCATGTTGAAGCGGACCATGTTGTCCACCATGTTTATGTGGTTGAACGTTGAGTTGCCGTTGGCTGTTTCCACACAACTTTGTAGCTACACTATCAGTGAGTTCTGCAGTTATGCAGGGTTCTTAGTGCTGCATCAACCCCAGCTGGAATGAGAACAGTCAGTCGTAACAAGAGTGTTGCTGGATCTATAGAGTGAATGCCTCCGACTTGAAAGCATCAGCGTGTAGGCCCGATGGATTCTGCTTGATCGTCGAGAGGCTCAAGAAATAGTCTATTCCGAACTTATTCCAATGGCAGGCAGTTCCACGTGGTCCGCTGGGCTGCTTGGACCGTGCTACAGAGATTGCGGTCAGTTGGGTGAGTTCTACTTTGTCACGCACTGTTGTGGGGCTCATACTGATGAAGGCCTCCTCAGTCGTGTAGTGCTTTGTCAAAGGTGCATTCAGGAAGGATGCCCCTTTTGTGGTCATCCTATTTCGGAACGTGATGTCAGAAGCGTGACGGACAAGCTTCCGACACTTGTGACAGAATCGGGCTGCTATGAAGGTAACCCGAATGAGTCTGCAGTGGACTCCGAGAACCGCATGTGGTTGGCGGGTTCGAGATACCCTTTGTTGCCGCAGAGCAATATTTGGCTCACCGATGAGATCCTTGATTTGTGCTGTACTTCATGCGGCAAGACGTTCACCACGCTGCATTATGTACATGACTATGATCAAGATCCTGTTCATGGCATACATGATGGTGGACAACCCTTTGTCCACAATGATATCACAATTGATCCAACAGTTGAAGAATTTCCAATGCCTCCCAAAAGCTGTGACTGTGGAGGATGGTTGCAGTCTGAGGGTTTGGACATCAGGAAAATCATTTGGGAGAGATTCCAAGAAGTGCAAGACACCCTGCTTCAGCAAAGGGTGAAACAGGTGTGCTGTGAGCCATCTTGGTACTTGACCCGCATTGCTAGTGAGCTGAAGACCACAGATTCAGTGCAACAGCTTCTTGAGTTTCCTGAGCTTTTCCAAGTCTTGAATGCGATGCTGCCGACATTTCCCTACACAGAATGGGCAGAAAGGTTTCACTGCGATGGAATAAGCGTGGGAGATGCCTTCCTCTCTGTCGCCAAGATTTTGTGCGCAGTGGCAGCATTTTGCATGCACGACATATATACAGGGGAGCTCAATGATTCGAACGTGGAGATTCTGTTGGGAAGCCGCAGCATTGTGGAGTGGGACCCAAAGTACGCTGAGAGTGTTTTTGGAAAGCTGGTTTTTGCGATGAACCTTCCAAATAGCTATCTTGAGAAAGTCTTGGATGGCTGGTTGATTGAACGACAAGACCACTTGTTTAAGCCAGCCTTCAATTTGTTCAAAGTGCTAGGCTACCGGATGTACACGTGGGAAGCTCCTGCAAACTAGCGGATGTTTTCAGTGAGTTCCATCCGCCAGGTGTTAAACAAATTGTCAAGTGCCTAACAGTCTAACAAACTTTAACCTGCTGGACTGTAACCTCCTGTTTGTTTGAAGCTGTCATGAAATCTCGCGGCTGTACAAGGGTGCATCCGTAAGGCGGCAAGAACACGTCGTTGCACGGTGACGGAAAAAGAGGTGTGTTCTTGCTGGGCGTTCGGGCGTTCTGTGTTTTTTTGGGGGGTACACAGATGCGTTTCAACATGTTTCAAGTGTCGAACTCTCAGCTCAGAGTGTTTCTCGTCCGGCGTGTTTTGGAAGAACGGTCAGGGTGAAACACCGGTCGATGGGACCGCGAACGTGTCCCGTCCACGTGTCCCGGCGACGTGTCCCGCCTGAGGCGCAAGCGACGTTGGAAGAGCTCAGTGGTTCCATGGAGATTTGGACCGAAGAGGTCGTTCCTCGGCGGTGGTCGTGGTGCTTCGGAAGAGGAACGAAGGTTGAGGTAGACCAGTGGGTATAGTGAGTTTAGAGCGAGAGGTAGCGAGTTATAGAAGATCTATATTATATAGCCGGAGAGAATCACGAAGTGGGAACATAACTCACGGGACATTTCTTTCCAAGAACTCACGAACCAGTTCTTGGCGGAAGAGAAGGGACGACGAGTTCGAGCGAATCGAGGGTTGATGTTAGGGAACGACCAGTCGATGAATCAGACTGGATGACTGCCAGCTTCTTCAGCTCGTGACCTCGAAGTGCCTAAGTCAGTGACCTTGTCCAGGTCCAAGTGACCAGAAACTGGGATATCAAGTTCGGTCACTTTGAAGAACCAGGTGGATGTCTTTTGGATTCTTTAGGTGTTTGTTGTGCAAGGATTGGACTCTTTTTGGAAGAACATCCCACTGGCCAGGTTGAAGTTAGAACATCTTAGAACCTTTTTTTTGTGGATGCAAATTCATCTCAGGGGATAAACAATGGATCTAGATCTAGACTCTTTGTTGCGTAAGCAAATCCAGCAGGGACCAGGACGCAGCAACCTTCTACAGTTGATCACGGAAACAGGATGCTCCCATTTCGATGGTTCGAAAGGTACAACAACATAGCACCCGGGGGTGTCCTCGTTTTCCCCCCAAAAAGGCATTTGTAGGCATTTCTGAGACCATTCAACACGTTTGAGGAGGTCATTCAAACGTAGCCAAGGGTCTTGAAATTAAGAATATTGATCAAGATACCGCCCACACAAGAAACTTCGGGACTGACACTACCTAAACAAATCCGTTTCAGAGACGTATTGTGACGGTCTGAAGCTGTTTGCGGTCTGAGACCGCCAGCTTTCTTTGTTTAGATAATTCTTTTGATCGGTGATGTTGAATTTGTGCTCCGAACTGGGTGAATCCCCAAACCTGCAGAATATGATATGTAATTTTGGGTCGTCACCAGTGTCGGAAGAAACACACAGCTTTTAGCCAAGATACTTGACCAACAAAAAACACATTGCTGCCAGAGTCGAAAGGATCCATGACCACCCAGGCCGCCAAGGTCGAGGAGCTCGCCAACGCCTTCCTGGAGGGCCGTGACCATGACCGCATGGAGCACCGTGGTCGGTGGACGAAACGAGATCCCGAAGAGTCGAGGGCAAGCCATGGAACCATGCAAGAATGTATTATATTATAGATCGATGATTCAAACATAAAACATCATAAAACTAGAATGAAGTAAGTACTCCTAGTAAGCACTATAGTACTGTAAAGTAGATGGACTGCGTTGTAGTAGAGATCATGCATGTTCCAAAGAAGCTGTGGAAGTGCCATGGGGATACTTTGGATACACGTACAGAAAGACAATATTTGTTCAAGTAGGACCTCCATGACAGACCTTTTCAACATCAACGCCGTCACAAGTGGTGTTTTCATGGTTTCCACAAATCACCGTTATTTCAACCATGCCACAGAACTCTCAACATCTCTCAACCCTAAACCACTGAAGCCATGAAGCCCGGCTGAGGCGACCTGGTGATCCGCAAGCTGAAGCAGTTGGCTTTCGAGGCCATCACCGATTTGCTGAACTGCTCCGACGGCTCCTTCTTGGCACCCTGACAGTGGTCGAAGGGGTGGCAGGGATGCGCAGAACACTGCGGGCACACTGGGTGATGTTACTGGTGTTTTGGGGGGAGTTTGGGTGGTTGAAAGCTAGATTTGATGAACATATAGCGTTCGATTATAGACTTTTGACTACGACCTGTCCTGTCACGCATTATTAGAGAGCTTTGCAGGAAGCCACACTATGGGGCAGCATGGGGCAGTCCAAACCACACACTTGTGACTTCAAGTATTGACCCCCAATAGACCAGGTGCACACTAATGAAAAACCACGTTTACTTCCATCATGTGGTTGTTTGACAGACATGTCTACTAGTTGTTTTAGCTCAGGAGGCCACAGCAACAAATGAGCAAATGAAATGACAACAAAAGCAAAACTCAGCAAAACACATCGACCTTCCCATCGATTGTTTTCCTTCACAATGTTCTGCACACCAAGGCCACGAAGTATACTTCCGTCCTAGTGCGGGGTTGCCAAGGCCTCCGCCAAATCACAAGCAAAAAGCTCGGACCCAGGGGACCCTCCAAGGACTACAAAGGAACCTCAAAGGAACTAGCTTGTGGAACCAGTTTTTGATAGTCAAAAGACCTCAATGCTCAAGTAAAGGAACCTCAGAAGTATTGTTACAGTATTAATTATAGCGTTTTGTAACATTAAATTTGAGTCTGACTGAGTGCCGGCGAACTCCAACGTCCATCGATTGACCTAAGGATGACCTCATTGACAAGGTTCAGAACATCTCTGACCGCTTCAAGAATGGCACACGTCCGCCTAGGCGATGTATGCGCGCTGTCCACATGACACGGGGAGAAGGTGGTGGCAGCATAGACCACATAGACTGCAGGTCCCTTACACTGGTAGTCGATATGTGTTGATTTCTCAAACCATATGTGTGGTTTCAATTGCACCTATGTTTTTCGCAGACCCGAATCCGAAGCATGGCCAGAAGCCACTTTCAATTGAATCAATTTGTGTCCTTGGCGCTTCCGCGGAAGAGATGGAGATCAGAAGGGTATAGTTTTTCGATATGTTTTTGATTATCTAAATGTCATTCATAAACTTGTGCAAAAGAAACAGAGGCTAGTAGAAACAAGTGCATCGCTTCTAGTAACAAGTGCCTTACTAGTAGTAACAAGAAGCTATTATTTGAGTTTTGCTATTTCAATAAACTTGCTGGAAGGACTGAGGTGTCAAAGACCCACTCGAATCACATAAGAAACAGAGCCACACGCTGGGACCTGTGTTGTGGCACAAGGAACATCACGGACAAGCTGTGCCGGGTCTCCTGGGGCAGCGCTCGCTTCCTGTGCAAGATCCACACGGAGGAGCGCTCGCTTCCGGACAAACGTCGGCGGATCTCAAACGGGTTCATCGGGCGAATAGTACGCAAGTCCCGATGGAAGTGTTTCTTCGATGCAAGTTTTAGTAGGGAGAACCCCCCGTGGCCCAATGGGTAGAGTATGGTAGACTGGTTTATTTCCCGAACCTTCCAGGAGTTTTGGGGAGTTCTCCCTATATACATGTCTATATATTTTTTAAATACACTCCCATGTTCAAGATTAATTAGCTCTTGTTGGAGAACTCGAGCACATGAAGCAACTGAACTCAAGAGACTTGCACTTGGGTTCTTGGTTCCTTCGCATGCTGTAGCTGGATGCTGCAAGATGGGTTTGATAGACTAACCTTGAATGGCGTGATGAATGTTGATAATACTATTTCAATCTGAGATGAATATTAGGAGACAATGCTCCAGGAAAGAGGATTTGTGTGGTTCACCAGTCTGTTCACCTTCACCTCTCGAAACAATGCTTGCCTTCCAGCTGTTTCCAGTTCATTTCAGCCTTCCTTTCCAGCTACTATGAGCTGACTCTCAGACAGAACCCCCGACCGACCGTACCGACGGGCTTCGGCGGGTCGGGCGACCGCAGCTTCTCCAGGACCTCCCGGAGGAGGAGATGACGGAGCTCTCCGACGAGTTGGCCGAGGAGCTCAGCACCGCCGACCTCTCCGTGCGGCGCCTCGCGGGCTTGGCGAGGCGCTTGGCGCAGGTCACTGAGACCTACGTGGATCAGGACCCGCCGAAGTGAGCCGCACCGACGTTAGGGGTTCGGTGCTTCGTGGTGGTTCGGAGTGGAGTGGAAGGCAGTGGTGTGTGTGTGTGTGTGTCTTTTTGGGGGGACAACGGTTGAGTTGGGGTCTGATGGTTTTGGGAGGATGATTCCATTGTGATGCTTTTGGATGGGGTTGTTTCGAGGGTTGAGACATATAGCCCTTTCTACGTCCTTCCACTTGCAGACAGTGTGATGGACAGAGGTAGGAACGACAATCAACACCCAGACAAAGCATCTTCATCAAACACGTCAGTTCAAAGAGCTTGCAGCATCACCTCGACCTCGAACTTTCAGCAGAACTCCTTCCGCGCCCAAGCAGCATGTCTCAGCCCGAATCACCAAATAAAAGCAATCAACATGGGTGCGTACAGACTCATACAGATATCCCACGTATAGACCGTCCTCTAGGGATTCTTAGGGTTTCTTGGCCCCGGTCTAGGGCCTAGGATGGTCCATCATAGGACCTGTCCTAGGGCCAGGAGAGGGCCTGTCATATATTAGTTGTTAAAACAATTGTTAAAACAATTGGTCTATGAATTTTCATGGGTTTTTCATTGTTTTCGTTGTCCCCAGTTTTGAACACATCCCTATGATAGGGCCAATCGGCTCCAGGAAGTGGAGGAAGCCGTTAGCTCCACTTCCAGCACCACTTCCAGCGAATCGGATGACTCTGAGACCACCTCAACCTCAGGGCTGCTGGGCGATACACCGGTCGCCGGGGAGGTGGTGAAAGGGTGGCCTTCGTAGAGACTAAGGGAATCATCCCCTGCTCTAGATAAATACCTTGGAATCCAGCCACCCTCATTCCCTATAGTGGGCACCCGTCAGGTTTGTTTGGCTGCTTCCTCAAGGTGTTTCATCCACGTGTTGAGAGGGTAGAAGCCCTGGCTGCCAAGCATGAAGTATGTGAATCCGCTGAACCACAGGCATAGAGGCATAGTTTGGGGTGAAGGCGGTTGGATTTGTTAATTTTATTTATTCGGTCTGGGAAAGGGAAACACAATCTATATAGCCATAGAATGCCATCGATGCTTATCTTTCAGGTCGTGCAGAAAACAACACATGCGATTTGTGACCAGCTCAGTCACGAACTCCTCGGTGCTTCGTCTTCCATCCTGTGACGGACGCAGCGCAGGTGCAGGTTTTTTTTCGGCCAAGAGACCTCAGGATCCTGCGGGTCGCATGGGCCTCATGAGGGTTTCGATCCAGGATGGAAAATTCCATGGGAGCCTCATCTTCCATCGAATTCATTCCACATCCAATCCTCTTCATCTTCCATTCCATGGGTGGATCCCATTCCATACATGATCCTCGTCTCGTCCGTCCGGTCTCGACGGACCGCTCGACCTCCGAGACTGAGGCAATTGGCCACGATGAGTGCTACAGTCCACCTCTTTGACGCCTCATGGCTCACTCTGATGGCTGCTTTAACCTTCGCCAGTGCGTTGTGAGCAGAGACTCTATCCTAGACTTACAACGGACTCGTTTGAAAGGATGGTGAAGACCTCATATGATAAACTTTGGGGTATATAGCGGTTCAAGTGTTTATGTTTATCACGAATTGTTTCGAGCCTTGGAAGGCTAGGTAAATGTTAGACCGTTTTTGGGGGTACGCGAAGCAAAATTCTGGGGATGAGGCTGCCCCAAAACAAACACCTTTTTTGCCAAGTGTATACTATGTCCCAAATTGTCCCAATAAGCCGCTGCAGGGTATGCAAAAACCATTCCCTGTGTGTGGCCTCATCCGTCGGTGTTGCACCGCATCTGGATCCCTGCACCGCTCCTGGTTTTTGCCGTGGTCGTGTCCATCGCTGAAGCAGAGACCTTCGGCGCGGTCGCGCGCGGCACGGAGCGCGACGTTGGGGAGCACGTTGCAGTGGGCGCGGTTTCTTGCGCGTGCGTGCCCCCCCATGTACAGCCTTGCGACGTTGGTGTGCCTAGAGATTGCGATGTCGGTGGAACTTGAATCAAGCAGGATAATGGTTCGGTCTAGCAGTTGAGCGGCATGTTTAGTTTGGATTTGCCCCCTGCATGTTGAATTGATCACAGAGTCGGAAGAGTGTTTGCCAAATCGGCTTATGTTTCGTGTATACACATGATCAAATTAGGTACTGTATACCCTGGAAGTCCCAGGGGTATCCTTTGCACGCACGCAGACTTTCAGGTGGACACTGTCGGTCCTCGCAGGCAGTTGGACCGACAGTTGGTCGGAGCAAAAGGGAAGCTGCCGCTTTCTCTGTTGACCATCAATATCATGGACCATAAGTCTCTACCACTTCCCATCCAAATCCCATTGTTTGTATAATAACCATGCCACAGCATGCCAGTATTTGCTTGCTTCAAAACATGGACTTGCAGGTTGCAACTTTGGGTCGTAGGATGTGAAATCACTCCACGAGTGCAGCAACACCTGAGGCCCTCAAAAAGGAGTTCTATCCAAAACCCTTTTTATGACATTTTATGACGCAAGCACCATTCGTATCAGGATCATCCAATGGGTCACCAATGGACTGCCCTCCACTACTTAGGGATCTCGATTGGACACACATTGGATGGTCCAGGTCCAGGTATGTAGTTTTGAAACTTGGTGTTTGAGCTTTTAGGAAAGACCTCGGCCAAGGTTCCCCGCTTCCACCGCTTTCGCACTCGAATTGGGGTGCACCCTGACCTGCACAACGAAGCTCGATGTATTCACGGCGAAATCACCAGATTTCGAAGGCCAAATGGCCAGGTGCGCAGCCAAAGTGAAACGTTTCGAAGCCAAATGAATGCGCTGCTGGTCCATTGCATGTAGGTTTCCAGCCAATTCGAGCGATGGATGTGAGTTCAGATTGCAGACGCCCTGGGCAGAGTGGAGAGAGGCAGGTTCACTGAGCCCAGTCTTGGATCCACACAAAGGCACTTCCATCCTCAAAGAGCTTGGACACCAAAGACAACAGAGTAAACACTGGATCAACAGATCAACCAAATTCATCAAAATTAATCGGTGAGCATGGACCCCAACAGAAGACAGATACACACCATGAAGAGGTCCAGAAGCATGACAGGGTTTCACTGAAGGGAATAAAAAAATCCAAAGAACACATATCAGATGTGACTCTAAGAACTGATGCAACATATTCATACCTTTTCGTACCTCATGCTGGTTTACTCTGTTCAACACGTACAAGACTGCAGTTACCATCTTCAGGGTGGGACTTCCTGGTTGTTGTTTGTCTTTGTCGAGAACTTCCGTTCGACAAATGGTCAAAGGCCTTGAAAGCTTCGATGATCTCTACAGCATGCAGTCACTCTCAGGACCTATGGCATGTTCACTCATGACCCGGACTCCCACTCGACCTGGTTCAGCCAGACGGTCATCGAGAGCGAGGTCTGAGAGTCTGGGGTGTGTCAAACTGCGGACGTTTCATCCACGGATATTTGCAGAAGCTACTGTACATGATACGACTTTCCCCTCCTCAAAACCGAAATCCCAAGAAAGAAGGAACATGCACCTCTAAACATGCACTTGTCTTGACCCGAAGTGCGGAACCTCTCCTTCAGTGTGGAAAGATCAGTCGAATTGGACGAAACAAAAGAAGGACCTTTTGCGGTGGTCAGCAATCGACGAAACCCAGGTCTAAAGGGAAAGGATCCGTAGATCCGTAGATCCAAACGGATGGATCACAGAAATCCTTCTTCCGTGACCTACGGAGAGTTTGAGATATTAGACATGCTGTCAAGGTTAGATCCACTCAGTTAAGCAGTCTTATATGTACTTATTTACCGGTTCAGACGGTTCAGAGGGACTTTTGAGCAGCTTCCGGGTTTATTGAGCGAGACCTAGGTAGAGTCCTTCCATGTGGGTGTTAAACTCTGTGGGTGCTCCATGGAGAGATTCCCTGAGTCTAGTTTTCAGCTTAGATGTCAAGTTTCGTCGCCCCATGTCCTCTTCCATCCCAGATGCCAGTCTTTCCGGCGCGCTGTGAAACACTGCGGCGCGTGGGGCGCGTGGCCGGCAGGACACGGACCAGCTCTTTCAAGTCTGTGGCACTGTCATCGGCTTGGCAGTCCCTTGGTCCCCGGATCGTAGACGTAGACGTCTTTTTGACCGGTCCTTGGCTGGATTTGTAGACGGTAGACCCTTGATCGTATCTCATAAGACTTCAGAGGTTTCACCATTCAATGTCCATGTCCCGGAAGGGTTATTCCCCTCCTAGTTTCAACATGTTTCAACCGCTGTACATACTGTACTTGTAACCTTTGTTTCTTATGAATGGTTTGGGGTGCCATGGTAGGAAAGCGAAGAACATGTCGATAGAAATAGCCTTTAATATGTTCGAAGGGGCAAATCCAGCAGTCTGGTACTATCGTTGTAGCTTCTTTGGTACTATCGTACAATGGCTGGATGCAACTGGAGGCAGACCTGCTGCGAACGGACACACGGACGGGAATGTCCCTGAGGGGTGGGAAGTGTGGGAGGTGGAAGCGAAGGCATGGCCTCCGAATCGGAGATAGTACACGATGAACGCATATAACTTAATCGCATATACACTATAGGTCAGCAATTATATCATGTCAACAGTCCAATATAGAACATACTCGTTGAAACATGTTGAAACACATCCGATTCTGCAGGTGTTTGGAGGATTTCATGAGATTTCATGGAAGCCGTCCCAGTGTCCGGACTGACTGTGCTTGCGTCCGGACTCCGCTGCCTTCTTCGGATCCAGCGTCTGCGGGCCGCGCACTGCAACGATGTGGTGATAGACGGTCGTCGGCGGTCGCCGGGGGAGGCGGAAGGGGAAGAGGGTGGCACTGTGGCTCATAGTAGGGCTCCAACTACCTGCTGAGAAGGTGGTTAGGGTGGGTTGGGGATGTTTGGGGCTGGTCTAACCACCGAACCTGAGGATATGGGACAGGGGCCCTGGGGCACGTGCCATGGAAGTGTCTTTAATTTTAGTCCCTAAGGGCGACAGGAGACACCTTTCCTTTAAGAACATGGGGCTATGATCTCCACTTCCATGCGATGTGTTCAGAGTGTTTCTTGCGGGAGAAGATGAGCGAAGATGAGACGGAAGGGTCTCGAGTTGGAAGGATTTTTCTTCGACGCATCACTCGAAATGAAGCCGTTTTTGGGGATAAAAGAGTGCCTGGTGGATTCTCCTCGCATGACCTGGACATGACTGGACCTGGTTTTGCTGACGGGCTGTTTTGAATTTTCCTGATCGGTGAATATTATGAATACCGCCCCTCTTGGGGAGTTGTGTTTGTCCCGGTTCCTAGTTTTGAATAGATTGTATGCCATTGTAGGCGCTCCGGAGCTACATCCAAAGGACCTGCAGGTTGTATGATGTTGACTGGCTGCTTTGGTTTCATCTTGTTTCAAACGAGGGGTTTGTGCAAGCAGGTTCTACTGACTGGCACAATGGAAGTAGCAGGGTTGAAGCGCTGGTCACCATACAGACTTCAGGTACAGGGACCCTGGGACCCTGTGGACCTCTGAAAACGGGACCTCCCATGGCTTCCGCAGGGCAGGCCTTCTTCCCCCATGGCGCCTTCTCCGACGTGGAGGAGCGCGAGCGCGGACCTGTCCACGGCGCCGAGCCATGTACTCTCCCTGGGATCCAGGCGAGATCTCGCCTTGGTCCACATGGAAAAGGACCCCAGAAATGCCCATTTGGGCCAAAGAGAAAGATACAGAGAGAGAGAGAGAGATTGAGAGAGAGAAAGATACAGAGAGATCACGTGGATATATGAGATCGGCAGCGATCTTTTTTCAGAAATGTTCATGACATGTCATGTTTTATATAAATGGTTCTTTTCATCAACAGGCGCAGGTTTTTCACCCATCTCAGAAACTTGCCGAACTGATTGGTTATATAGGTCTTTCTGACAATATTGCCCACATCCCCTGACGTTGGCATCCAACCCCCCCCTCAAACCCACCGTTTGGGTGAAGCACCTGGCATTCTGCAAGCAACTCGGCTTGGTGCTTCGCGCAGCGACAGCAGGTGCTTCGTGGCCAAGACCTTGGAGACGATGAATCTCCGGCGCTACGCGGGGCCCTTCGACTGGATCTACACCACGGCGCAACTGGTGAGGCGCGCGGGTCGAGGGCCTGGTCGGTGGGGCCCGGTGGGAGCTGACGACGGCGATGTCGCTGTGAGGAGTGAAACAAAAAGGATATAAAAATACATAAAAGACTGCTATAGGTCTAAAAGAAAACCTCATGTCACTATACCCCCCAGATTGAACTTAAGATCAATTTCAGTGAAGTCTGAGCATATACCATTTAGAACAGACGTTCTTGAACCCATCCACCGGCGAGTTCTTGAGAGGAACTGCGAGTTCGGCACAGCGAGTTCGCGCTTGGTGCAGATCCACTCGCATCGAGGCACTGCATCGAGGATGACTTCGAGTGCTTCTTAGACTTGGAGCAGCTCTACCGGCACGGCCAGGCATGGGGCCATCGGCGCTACTGCCAGATGCTCAAGCGCCAGGCGAGAACATCCTGGCGGAGCGGGAGTGTGGAGGATGACATTTGGAGCACGTCGGGGAGTAGACTGCCAACGATCATGACTAGGTTGATCCAATGGCGATGTTGGTGGTGCCATCCAAAGACAAGTCCGGTGCCATTCACATAGCCATGGTGATTTCAGGGAGTCTATGTGGTTTGCCAGGCGGCTCGAGCGAGATGAGTAGAGGATCCAAGGTTTTCAAGGGTGGACAAGGAAGTGCCGACCATAGGGGGCGGTGAAGGCTGAAGTGCTGAAGCGTTGTGAGGGCCGATGTTGTGAGGGCGTTGTGAGGGACGTTTGATCAATTTGCCTTATTTGGATTGTAAAATCTATATTCATCTACCAGGACCCTCCAAAGTCCAAGGTGTCCAATGAGCTACCCCACACTACCCAAAAAGGCTTTCATTGGGCACCCCTTAGAGGGTCCAGGTAGACAGGAGATCAGATTAATCAACAAATCTTACATTGGAGCCTTTCAGAGGTGAAAGACCTAGTGCGGGCACCTTAGCCAAGCTGGCCACTAGCCGTTAAGGTCCTCCAAAGAGAGGCTGAGGCAGTAGGGCAGGTCGGTTCGTTCCACTCCAGGCTCAGTGTGTGGTAATGAACCACCCTGACTGGTGGACACCATAAGGACCTGCCAAAAAGGCTATCAGTTGCCTCACAGAGTGCGGAACTGGATGGAGACCCATGTAGGTGACCTTTGAAGCCCCCAAGCAACAGAGGACCGTAGTTCGACTGGATTGCCCCAAGGTGACCCAAACCACTGACAACACCTTCAAAAATCTAAGGCGCCATCTTAGCTTGAGGGCTTTTTTCATCTTCATCTCTCAGAGAACTTACCTTACCAAGCATGCCAGGGGAACTGCTGCCCACAATGAACCAAGGTTCAAGCAAGATCAAACGAGTGCAGCAAAGTCACACCATCAACCCATGCAGCTTCGCATGCCAGTGGTGCACAGTCGCCAACCATCACCACATTCAGGTGGTGCACTGGCTGGCATCAGAACCCTGAAATGTTATCTAACCTATTCTGATGTTGATTTGATTGAGTTGTACTGCATGCGATTTCGGAACCATGATAAGTTCTGGAAAGATCCCAGGCAAAGAGACAGCTTCTGAGTTGAGCCAAGGCCATGCCAAACCCCCGAAGCAGACTAGAATGGTCTTTCCCGAAAGCACATTTTACAAAGGTCCTGACCCCAGGTTTTCTGCTCTTAGTTCAGGTCACTTAGATCACCTCCCTTGCACGTCCAGGACTGGACTGAGTGAAACACGCTGAGGTTCTTGTGCTTCTTTGACATGACCTCCCAGGTTCAGTCCAAGTATACGCTATAGATCCACCTGGTGGGAATCTCTTTGAGCCGTCTTGTTGTTGCCATCGTTTTGGCACCAAAACCAACACATGAAGGGTCACATGGCTCCAGTCATGGCTCCCATTCCAAGACCGTGACCAGTTCACGCCTCCTTTTTCACCTGTTCGAATTACATAAAGGGGTTTAAAGGGGTTCAATGTGAACTTTCAGCAAACCCATTTTTGAGCAGCAATGAAAGCTTGCAAAAGGCGCACCGGACCACACCCACCAGACCGGAATAAGCTGTCCTTTCCTGCTTTGCACGAGACCCCGCACGAGACCTGCTCGCCCCCGACGCACCCCCAACGCCACGCCTCTCGACGCGTGCTCAGCGCCGTGCCGTGCTCGGCTCAGATCCTCTTTCCGCACCATCGCCCCGCTGACCGGGATCGAGAGCACTTCCAGCGAACGGTGCAACGCTGGCGGCAGGCGGATGGGGAGAGGATGGCACGGTGTTGGGAAGGCGGGTGGAGTGGAGGGGGTAATAGCAGGTGGAGGTTTGAGGTAGGGCTGGGTATTAGATGAGAACTCACACCACATGGCTTGCAATGGTCTACAAATGTATATTTGGAGGGTGGAGAGCATAGATTGAATCTGTTCCCGTTTGGGTGACTGGGGGACCACCCTCTTTACGGAGAGGCCTCCTCAAGGCCTGACTTCAAGGTGAATGCAGGATCCTTAGCGATCCATTTAGCCTTTTCAAGATGGTGTGTACCGGTTCCTTGTGCCCGTTGCACCCTCCATCCAAACATGGAAGTGGAATATGGCCCTGAAAGGAAGATTGTGTTCCTCTACCAACTGATGCCATCCACTGTCCATGATGGTTGTAGGGAGTGAAAAAGACATATTTGCCCCCCAGTTTTGCAGTCTCATCAAGCTTGTTGATGCTGGTCTCAACCTTTAACCTGCATAAGATCCTATAAGTCATGGAGCCAATGGAAACCAGCCTGGGTGCTTCTGTACGTTGCTGTTTGGAGAGTGCCATCCACGGCTGCCTGACGACTGCTTCGTGGTTTGCCATTTCTGGTCCGTTTCAGAGGTGGTGGCGTCAGAAGAGAAGAAACTCTTCGTGTTCATGCAGCTTGGATCGATGATGTTGGCCACATATCCGAACACCCTGGGTGACTGGTGAGGAGGAACAAAGATGTCCACAGTAGAAGCATCCGGGTGAATGCGGCAATGTAGCAGACCCTTTCAGACATGGATTCATCGTTTTCTGCGGCCCTAGCTACTCCTGTTGATTGGCAATTTTGCCGGGAAGCGCTGCAATGATGGGGTACAACAAGTGCACGCATCCCAGCATTTGAGAAATTGCATGGATATCATGGATATCATGTACATGCATTTCAATTCCCCAAGTTTACAAGGATGTGGCATGGTGTGGCAGGCCAGGATGTGGCAGTAGATGTCACCGGCAAATGTTGGTGTGGATCAGCCCAATAAGAACATCAGCGCCCCTCCGGACCCCTGCGAGTGCCCCAAGCAACACATGGGACGTAGGTCGACCGCCTTCCTTGAGTCTCCAATGACCCTTTTAAATTTGCCTTTCCAAGAAAAAGAGGTTTTTGAAAGAAAGCACTCTTTTTTGCATATGTCACGAAATGTTCCTTTTTTGTTTGTGCCCTGTCAGATCCTCCTTAGACAGTGTCCTGAGACCTTTTTTCGGCGTCCAAAACGCGTCTTTTTGCGTCCAAAAGGCGTCTTTAAGCGTCCGTGCCGGACGCGTCCGGATGAAGATTCACTCTGCACCTTTTTTTGAGTCCTCATCTCTAAAAACGCGTTTTTCGAGCAAAAACGCAAAAATATTAGACCAAAAACAAAAACGCAGAAAAAACAGGTCTTTGGAGACTCAAGGTTCAAGCGACGACTCATGTTTCGAGTGAGGTTCTTCTCCACATTCTGAGCTGGGATGGCGGGACAATTGCACCCTTCACAGGACACTGACTCTGAGATGATTTGATCCTTTGCAGACATTTGTTGTCGAAGACTCCGGGACCCTTCTAGCACCCGGAACTGGGACCCTTCAGCCACGAGACCAACGCGTCTCAGGCCGTTGGTTCAATCCAAGAAGGAGCTGCAGAGCGTCGCTTGGCCCAGGTTTGGGAAAGGTTTTCCACTTCCATGTTGCTTCCAATCAAGGGTACTGTGTATGTGTTTTTTTTCTGGTCATAATTTCTAGTGGGAATCCGAATTGGAATTGGGGACCCTCATCCATTGGGCAACATCTCCCATCCATTGACGGCCCATCCGTTCGGTCAACGTCTTAGGAATCCGGGAATCCGGTCAGCATTGTTTGGTTTCGGTTCTGACAGGTCATTTGCTTGAAACAGAAAAGGCACCCACTTGGGTAGTTGTTTGCGTCTTTCACCTCCACCCAGCTCCGTGTTTTCACCCAACCAAACCCGAAACCCAAAGCGATCGGGTGAGAAAGACCCCTTTCCGACACCTCTGGGTCGCCTCTGGGGCGTGTTCAGCCCGAGGTGAGGGACCGGGAGTCGATGCATGGGAGCAACCTCCAGCAAGTCGAGGTCCGGTTCGGTTTTGCTTTTGGGGAGGACGAGTGGGTGTCCCCAAGCGGCCGAATGGTATCCCCAAGAAAGAAGCGAGGATAGCAAGGCGCATCACCTGAAATCACCCAAACCGGTTTGGGTAATTCATTGATGTTGAGTGAGTCCGAGACATGCAGTAGCCGGGAAAGGCTTGTGGATCACCTGGCAAAAGCGCAAAAGCCGGGATGACCCCTTGGGGGATTGAGGGAGTTTCCCCACTATGACGCTATAAGCAGGGAAACCGCTCAGGAGTGAATAGTAGAGTGACATGATGGATCGAACTGTGTTCATCCAATAAGATCTTGAGCAGATGATTAGACTGCGACGGTGAATCCACTATGACACGTGCTTCCAATCGACGGGCGGCGGCCTTTGTTGTCGCTAAGCTAGTGGAGTGAGCACTTCACAACTGGTTCTATATGTTCTATTCGGAGAAGAAAGGTCCTGTGACGCTTCCACAGATTCCCTAGGAACGAGCTGCTGTGGTTGGCTGGAAGATTTAGGAGTCCAGTGGAGGCATTACTTTGCTTCTGTAGCAACTTGCACAGCTGCTGTTAACATGGCTCATGGTGGGTGCAGCAAATCCTGTTTAAAAGGTGGAAGGTCACCCGTGGAATTCTATCCTGACAACTTCACTTCATGAACAAGTTTATGCCAGGCTTACTTGCACTGATCAGCCCATGTGATCACATGTGTTTGTCTCCGTTTGGCAAGGTATGTCACCCTTAAACCGTTGTTCCAGTGTAGCAGTTGGGCTCCATTTCTTTACATATCTTTGCATTTTTACCCCTTCTTTTAGGTCGCCAGACCTTTCAAGTGCACTTGGCACTTGGGGCTCCAGGTGTACAACAACACCATACAAAACCTATACAAAACGTAAGCAGTGCCCTGTGCAGCTGCCTTTTTTTGCAGGAGCTCTTGAGAAGCTTGCGACAACGTGTGGGGAACTTCGAGCTTCTGGTGGTCTATGTGGTGGAAGGTCCGAACCTTCGTTCCGCGGAATCCGATGGTTGGGAGGAGGGCACGTCAGGTTCTGCTTGGCTCATTCGAGTGGTTTATAGGTCATCGTTCTGATGTATAGGATCTAGATTCTACAGACATTGCATGATAAGGATCGTTTGTAAATATGACCCCAAAGAGCTTTACCTTTATGCCGAGAGATGTCACTGACCTCGAGGCTCGCGAGCTCGAGGCTCGCAAGCAATGCTTGTATTTGAAGACATTCGGATGTTCGCAGACTCAGCAGACGTTTCTTCATTGCTCCTGTTCGCAGACTCCTCCCTCATCGGATCCCAAACTCCTCATCCAACTCCGGACCACTGGGACGGGCCAGGCTCCTCCCGCTGGCGCCAAGGGGCCACGGAGGACACCGAGTTGGACACCACGCGGGAGATCCTTCAACAGCAGCTTGGTGATGCTTTTACCGGTGCCCTCCAACTTCATTGCGGCCTCCACCCTAGTAGCGATGGCCTCCAACCTACTACATCTTGGCCTCCATCCTATAGGTAGCAAAAGGATACAGCGGCTTGGTGGTGTTATCTTGTTAGAAACACATTCGCAGATCCACTCAAGACGTCGCATGGTGCTGTTAAGTGATTGATGTTCGATCTGGTGCCCTCAGCTCGTCGACGACGTCGTGAGTCGAGAACATGTGTTTCGGAGGCGTCAAGACGTCGAACGAGAGTCCCAATGGACGTCGAAGTAAGAAGTACTTGGAGTCCCAGGATGGATGTAGTTGGAGGAACCAATAGTATAGTCATTGGGACTCACTCTTGGACTATAGTCTTGGTTTCCCAAGGATGTAGTTGGAGCGGAGAAACCAAGACAGAATTTACCCGGGTGTAGGAGGACACTTGGCTAGGCGTATCGATCTTGGCCTTGGCCTCTTGAGGGATCTGCAGAGGATGGTGGCCTGGTGCGAAGCACTTCTTCCGAAGCACGGACGCGAAGTATAACTGGGTGATGTCAATCATGTCTCAGATCATCACTCTTATGTTCAGCCTTCACTAGTGACCCCAGTGAGGCCTTTTCTTTTTTCGAGTGAGCTGAAACCAAGCTATATGATATCTCTGAGAGTCAGACATGGCACTCTTTTGTTTGGATTCCTCCACCGCTATCGCTCTCCCGGTTCTGGGCACAGGGGCTGTGCCATACCTTGGAAATGTGGGGGAAACGAGAGAAGAACGCTGCGAGTAAGGCCTGAGTTGCGCGTCTACGAACTTCATTGCACTGGGGGATGCACTGGGTTGAAGTTCAAGGCATCTTAGTTGGACGGCATGGCTCGGCAGGGACGGCAAGGATGAGGAGAATGGATTAGGATATTGGGTGCAGGTATGGTGTTGGAAGTTATCGGAAGGTGTTTGGAAACAGACACCTGGATAGAGCGGTAGACATCTCCTGACGTTTGATATCGTTTGATCATATTCCTCAGCTTACTTGTTCAGCCTCTTTGGCTTTGTGCACACATGCCCAATTGGTTTCAAAACAAGACATTGAGAGAACGGACCGAACTGACCTCTTTGATCATATGCACTTGGATGCTCATGTAGATAGATGTCCAGGTGGAGTTACCACCAGAGACATGCTTTCAAGGAGGTCGAACATACCAGTTACCAGGAGGACAAAAGAATCACATTGTGCATGGCCAAGCTTCACCGCGACCCTAGGGGCAGTATTGTGCCACAAGGCTTCATGAACCTTCGTTACAATTTCCAAGAACTTGGGCGTTTGAAGGACAGAACGATGAGAAGCAAGACTTAGCATGTTTCAGGTTTACCGTAAAAGCCTCCCATTCTCATTCAAGGATGAATCTACATACTCTCCGAGGCGCCCGCAGATGACCTGGCACTTCAATCTCTACTAGCGGCCCGCTGTTCAGCTAGCGGCGTGCTGGCACCTGACCCACTAGCAGGCTCAGCCACTAGGATGCAACACTTGATGGGCTCTTCAGCGCCCGACGGGGGAAGCTTCAGAACCCGTGTGGAACTCTGTTTCGTTGAAGTCTGTAACCGCCGACAGGACAACATAGATAACCACGGTTTCAGGGGTTTCCAACATGTGCTCGAAATTCCATCGACGGGGAAGGAGGCCGTTTGCATGCCCAAAGACATTGTTTGCACCGTGGTGTTTTCTTTTCTCACCTCGCTACCACAAGCTGTTCCGCCTCGTCGCAGCAAAACGCACCGTTGTTGTTTCCTGAAAAAGGCAATTCTTTGTGCCGTTTCGAAGATCTGGGTGATCCCTGAAACCACGCCCATGGTAAATAGGCCAGTCCCATGGATTCTCAGTCAAAAGAGAACGAGCTTCTCGAAAAGTCTCATCTCGGCCAGTGTCAAGCGTTCAACTTGTTCTTTGGACGGGCATCTTTTGAATGGATCTGGACCTCCATGTCTATTGGGAACACCAGAGTTAGCCTTGTTATTTGAGGGCGTGCTTTTTGCCACCCTATGATTCCCCTCTTATGCCTATTAATTAGGGCCACTATGAGCCATCCGTGCAGTCTGCTGCCGAGGAGCGTCGCTTTCATGGGTCCTTGCGGAAGAGCCTGGGGCGCAGGCGCTTTCGGTTGGGTGGTGACTATGACGGAGGAGACGGCGGGGGATTTCCGATGTGATGGAGATCTCTTATGCAATGGCGTGTTTGGACACGTCGTTGATGTCCTGGTTTGCCTTTGTCTTGCCCGGCCGATCTGTTTGTTTCAACCTGTTCTTTTTCAGAAACCTTGCTCCACCAAACGGTAAAGGACCAAGCTCTGATGAATCAATCTGAACATCCAGTGTTCCCTGCATTGTGGATGTTGGCATCCTGGGCTGGTTTGTGTTTTTCGTGACGACATAAAGATACTGCCGACTATACTGCGTACTCATGACCTAGGAGTTAGCAGAGGTACACCAAAACCATGAGTCATATGAAAAGGTACTGTTGGACCATTTCTTCATATTGGGGCAGTGAGAAAAACCTTGTGTCCGAAACCTGTTCCGACAGTTGTCATGATGGGACTTCCAGGCAGGGTTCCCCTACGTGTTTCCCACGTCTTCAGTCTATATAGGACATGTCCACCGTCCCAACACACATGAGTTAGGAGCTAGCCCAGGCAAGTCCTGACTCTCCCGACCACCACAGTCCTAACTCATTTGTGCCAAGTATAAATACTTCCCTTCCAATAAATAGTGCCGTTTTTGTGTGTGTGTGCGGATCAACACAAGTTCCAAACCAGTTCATAAAAACAAAAAGAACCACCAGTCGTTGGCAGCGGCATTTTGATTAATCGTTCATGGTTGTGGAAGTGGGTATTTCTTCCATATCATTTGATGTCATACACGAACAGTTTGATCAATGATGAATGTTCGATTAATCGTTTTGGGAATGGACATGCCACATGCGACAAGAACCAACAGCCTTTGACGGCCTTGACCAGAAGTCTACGAGTTCTTCTTCAGTCCGCCCCTGCGAGCAGACTGTCAGGAGTTTGGGGAAAAGAATCTTGCTGCCTACAAGGGAGAAGAGAAGGAAAACCTCTGCAGTTCAAGACGCTTGGATGCGCGCAAAAAGTGCTTGGAGCCCTGAAAGCTGGCAATGGATTGTAGAAACCACACCTGTTGTGAGATAAGTCTTCAGCCTCATAGGGCTGCTCCGACAGTTAGTCCATGTTAGTTCCATCCACTCATGCGAATTTCGGAACAGTTGTTCGTCGTGACTGGGGGGAAGCCACCGGCTGCCCATCACTGTTCAAACCGGGAGAGGCAGGGGTCCTCGGAGGGCTACAAGTGAGTGTCATGATTCGTGGCCCGAGTTCCGCAGGTGAACGTAAAACAAAGTGTTTGTAATTCGTTCAACGGGGTGTCGTTGGGCAGCCAAAATTTGTTGTTTTCTCCCACATGATGGAAACACTGTTTTCTTTTAGCATCTTTTAGCCTTTGACCCCATGCTTAAGGCTTCACCCATTGATGCTGAAGCCGCTCGAAGAACCATTTCTGTTCCCGAGCTGTTCCTTTCTTTGGTCAACAATTGGAGTCGTACCAACCCCAAAAGCTGTACCTTTTTCTGGTTGCAAGAGGTCCAGCACTAGCACGATCTTTGGGGTCCTTCCTCCGATCCAGGCTCGGACTCCTTCGGCGACAAAGAAGATTCGATCGTGCCACATGTTGAGCACTGGTACTCCTTATCCGATTGGTCAGAGGGATCTCTAAGAGCTCGATGTGGCCAAGTCGCCTTAGACTCTAGTAACAAGAGGGCTAGTAACTATAGTAGTAACTAGAAGCTACTAGTAACAAGTGCATGGCTACTAGTAACAGGTGCATGGCTACTAGTAACAAGGGCTAGTATCTAGTAATGCCATGTGCCCGGAATCCACCGTGGCCCCTGTGGGCCGACCGTCTAGAGACGCCGAGAATCTCATCGACCGTCGCACCAGGACGTGGAGACCGACGTCTCCAGCCCTCCACCGGAAGCGGACCCTCGGATGGAACAAACGGATCACGTTCCGGGCGTCACCCTGAGACACGGAGACATGGTGAACATGGCATGCTTTGCGGTTCAGAAATCGTGTGTCACCATTGAGGGCTAAACATGTTAAATTATTGTGAATGGGGTGATAGTGAATTTTTAAATTATACATGGTTCTCATTGAGTTGCCTGTGTTCATTCATCAAAATCAGGATAATCATGCGTTGGGCGTTGTAAAGAGATCGGATTGATTATTGTTTTTTCGGTTCGAGGCGCCAAAGCTTGTGCCGGCCAACTTCCGTTGGACCGTGGGACTCAGGATCCCCGCTTGAAGAAGAACTTTGGGCGGGAGAGCTCTGAACCCAGGTGCACCACGGGCAGCGGGGCGGATGTGTTGTTTGGCCCGTGGAAACAGGGATATAGTCTTGTTTGGCATGTGATAGTCCTATCAGGGATAGTTGGGAGTTCAGGTAGTTTGGATGACTTGCAGACGGGATCCGGAAGATACAATGTGTGAAGCACGCAAAGCATGAATGCAGACAGTCATGCGATTGCAGTTGAGACTCATGGGCCATTGGGAAATACGTCGACGTCCATTGCTGATTTTTTTGGGGAAGCAGCCTAGCAAGTTAATGTCCTTTAATCTTTGAGAGGCACTCTTTCTCCCACACTTCACAGAGCCTTCGCCCGAATCTCCCAGCTGCTCTCCTCGTGCTTCGTCGTCCTATGGTTGGCAGTTTTCTCGCAGGAGGCGGGCAAAGAATGTGGAACAACTGCCAAGCAAGGGAAAGAGGAAAGCTCAAGCTGATGAGTCTTGGCCATTCACCTTTGAAACTGAGGCCACACATGACCCTGTAGGAAAACTCTCAACAAATGTTGCAAGCGGAAAAGCGGAACTGTTTGGGCCGGCCATGCCATCATACGCTAGCCCAGCCTTACATGTCACCAAGCGGGTGGAGCAGGTGCTTGTAAAGGACCAGCTGTTGAGTTCGTAGAGTGTAGCTAGCTAGCTGCTCAGGACGGCTCGCCAGGGTATCCAGTTCTTCCATCATATTCCCCATGAAGGCAGCCGGATCTGGGCAAGATGTTCCAGCCGCTGCAGCTGCTCAGGGATGTTGAGCCACCTCTTTTTTCGGTGCCCTGACTCTGGAGAGAGTGTATGGGCATAGCAGTGACTCTTCTGGTGCCACCAGAATGGCCGTTCCAGTGCGGATCTCTCCGGTCCCCTTTGAATGATGGGTGATTCAAGCATCGATTGAGCAAACAGTGCATCATATATACAATACTAATCATGGCAATCCTGCCATACACTATATTAGTATGTTTCAATCTGTGTTCTTCAAAGTATTCGACTGATGTGTGTTTCTTGGTTTTTGTCAATCTGTTCCCATCTCAGAAGTCTGGTAAATCCTCATGGGTAAGGTATCATCTATGTTGTTCCCCGGCTTTTGAACGCTTCACCCAGGATGCCGATCCGAAATCGGAGGACGATGTGATCCTCGTCTCCGTAGGAGGAGCGACTCCAGCTGCTTCGGCTCCGTCGTGGACCGTGGAAGGTCTGAGTTCTTTACCCGACACGAATCCATACGGACCCGATACCTGGTCAACCTGGCCACCGAGTGATGAACTTGGGGGGTATGACCATGGTATGACCTAAGATTGCTTTAACTCGAAGAAAGATCATGCACCGTACTAGTCCTGCCTGAAAGTTGATGTTAGACATCTATAGGCTTATATATGTTTTTCCGGCTTGGGTGAATACAAACGGGGAAGGAGGTCCAAGATGGTACCATGGTCCATCGATACGTCCTAAGTTGATGTCTCATAGAAACATGACCACCGGAAGCTGCCTTGGAAGATGTCCAAGAAGCAGCCTGTCAATGAAGGATCCAATGACCTTGTGGATGTTTTAAGACCCTCACCCTGGGACCCTGTTCGCAAGACTGCTGCTGGATCGAAGAGTCCACACAAGTCCAGGACCCCTTCCCGGAGTCCTTCCGGACCCGAGCTCCAAGCCTCAACGAAAGACCTGGTAGGGATGGAAGGTATACTCGAAGGTTTCTATTTTTGACATTATTTTTGTTCAGATCCTTAGAAAATGCTCCTCCCGTGAGCTGCAGCTCTCAAACTGTTTAGTGCGTGTTTCAGCTGAGGCCGCTCCTCGTGTGTGCCAGGGCTCCCCGGGGAAGCCAATGGGAGTACTGGACATTCGCGTGGCACTGCGAGCAGTGCAAAAAGGGAGCGCGTGGCGTGTGTTTGTGCGCAGAGGAAACGCAGAGATCGTGGCACGGCTGAGTTGTTGTGACCTGGAGCAATGAGGAATTGACCTTCTTTAAATCATTGAAAGGGGAAAATGACAGGCAGGTTCTTACTGTTGAAACTATATGAACTGTTTGTCACAGATCAAAGGGTAGAAGTCAACTAGAATCGTTGCAAAGTTACCAAGATGTTTAAGGGTTCCTTTGAACCCTAAGTGTCAAGTACCCTGCCAGCTTCATAGGCACAGACCCTGAAAGAACCTTGGATCTGGAAAAACGCTTTCCTCTGACGAGCAGCCTGGGGCCTCTGATAGCCGTGCACTTTTTATAGATCTCCAGGATCCCATCGCTGGCATCGCTTCGATTCACTTCCGCTCTCACCAAAAGCACACACGAAACGGGCTACCTCGGTCGTCGATTCCCGTGCCGTGCGGCACAGGCGCTCGACTCCTGAGGTATATAACAACGAGCACGGCATCCAGATCCACTTCCCGTTGGCCCTGTTCAAGATGCTCAAAGGCCCCGACAAAAAGAATAGAGTCAGAATAGAGGCAAAGAGGACACAATTCATACACATCAACGGACCAGCCCATGGCAGCCAGAGATCTGGCTGGCGATACACATCCGCACCACATGCCTTCCGGACCGGACGCTGAATGCCACTTCCAGACTGGCCATGCCATCGCCCTCCGGTCGTCCTCCGGTCGTCCTCTGGTCGCCGTTGTCGAGTTCCGCAGCCAGGGGAGTCCTTGTCCTTGGCCGACCTCCAAGACGTTCAGCCCAAGGCCAGGGAGTTGTGGAGACGTTGAGGGGAGGAAGAAGGTGATCCACATAATTACTGCATGTGTTGTTCATGTTGTTCCTTTTTTACAGTCCGGGCTCCAACCATATCTTCAGGTCTCAGAAGGTGGCTAGACCCCCATGGCACCCACCCCTGGCCCACCGAACCGAAACGGGCGGCCAGGAGCCCCTAGGGAGTGATCCCTCAAGGGGGTTTAGATATCAATCTGTATCATGGATCGATGTTCCGTGCTGTTCCAACCTTCCTATGACAACACATGGCTGCCGAACGGCCGTGGCCGCCGTCCATCCTGCTTTGGGGGAGAGGGATCGGAATCGCGATTTGCTTGGGGAAAAGGTCGACCGGGCGTGCGTTTGATCCCAAGAGTTCCCGCAGTCCATTTTTAAATGGTGTTGGATCAGTTTTTTCATGACCACTCGCCAACGCAAGGCCAAAGGACGCGTGGTATACAAGTTTAGGCTTCCTGTGCCGTTGGATCCTGGTTGGATCCCCCTTTGCGTGCGCCGGTTGATCCTTTCTGTGCAGGTCTGGATGTCTATTCAGCAGATGTTGTCTTGGGAGCCATCAGACCCTGCACATGCAAACCAGGAGTTTGAGGACCCGAGGGACAAACAACCGTACCACCGTGCCAGCAGGGTGGAGCTTGCGGTACTTGGTAGAGAGGTCTTAAGGACCTCCCTGTGGTAGGGGATCAACACCAGAACTAGTTGGCACATTGGGTATTTAGAGTTGTTACCCCCCAAAGTATCCAAACATGAAATTAATTAGTTGCTGGCGGTACAGTATACAGTTTGATCGGCCACACCATTTCTCATCTCGCCAACATTATTTGCACTGGAAAAAGGAAACACAGAACGAACCAAGAGCATAAACACTTTCCCTCGTCAAGAGCAGTCTAGCCTTCTCTCCGCTGGCCTCCACTTGCCCCGTGCAATGTGTTTCGGCTTCGAGGACACCTTCTGCTTGACCTTCAGTGCTTCTTACGACTACTTTGGTGCCTTCGATGGAAACTGATCATGCTTCGATGGGATCGGACCAACGACTTCATGTCACCAACGACTGATGCCGAGGAAAATGAAAGTCCCCCGGTCCTGAAAACTGAGTCGTGTTTTTACAGACCTCCAGTGAAATGAGCTCCAACTGACCTTACAGAAATAAGTGTCCATTTCATAGGCTTCTTCGACCGTAGCTAGCTATACGGGTCAGTACACTGGTCAGTACTTGAGACACACAAATGATCACCAATGCATTAATGACAAGGGTTTGTCAGATGTGAATCCCGACAAGATCAACCCGTCTTGGCAGGACGGCCATCACCGGTCCCGGGCTTCATCGCTCGGTGAGCTCGGTCCTGAGCTCGCGTCCTTTGAAGCGAATGAAGCACGTGGACCAAGGAGAAATGAAGCACGTGGACCTGAAGCCCGGCGGCGGCGATCTGCCCGTGACGTATGACACCCGCAAGGAATACGTGGCTTGGGCGATGCCGGAGGAGAGACGCGGTTGATGGGCCAACCGGGAACACGGGCGTCTTTCCAGGGGTGCCTTCTAGCGGCGGTGGATAGGGCGGTGGAGGAATTTGGTAGTATACAATATTGTAAGTATTAATAAATATATTAGCATCGGATGATGATTAAATCGATTTCAGACATTCTACCGATTTGACATATATGGGACATTGGTTGTTCATGTGGGAGTTTGGGGGTGTCCTATCATTTGGGAGACCTCAGTTGACCAACCGATCCTTTTCGGGCTAGGACCAGACGAGGACCGGAGGAAGCCAAGGGCTCTGCCAGCCGAAGAGCTCAAGGTGTCACAACAGAAGGTGACACGTGTCCAACGTTCCAATGCGCATCCGCCGAAGGAGGAAGGACGCGGAGGAAGGACGGGGAAAAGCAACATGTTCCAATGTGGTCTGTTCGAGCACTTGTTAACTTGTATGGGTTAACCATGGTTAACCATGGTTAACCTATATGTTACATGTTGTCTTGGTGTCTTCCGTTTTGTGGTGATCCGGTCTGCCTGTCTTCAGCCTTCGCCCCTCCGAAGTTCGACAAAACCCGGGCCCTTCGAACGTCGTTCGCTCCGCGTGCGGAGCAGCTCCCGGTCGGTCTACGTCGCGATCGTCGCGAGACGGTGAGGTGGAGCTTTATTGTCGCTGGCGGTTGGAGACTTCGACTGAAAGGCAATTCAAGCTGTTGGCACAAGGCAGGGGTCTGGGGTCCGAGGTCCAAGCTCCTGTCAACGGTCGCTTGATGAGACTTCTTGATGTGGGTGATCCCAAACCTGGACAGATTTAGAGGGCATGTCCTATATGGTTAGTTGGATAGAAGACAAAGAGCACTCTTCGTAGTCTGTGTTAAATGGCTAGCCTCATTAGCTTTGATACCCGGAATTCAATTCTTTAGCATCGAAGTGACATCTTTCAGCCTTCGCCGATCGATCAGCTTCCCCAGGCTTTGAGAAGGTCGTGGACTCTGCCAGGGAAGCCCAGGTTGTGTGCACGAAGTGCGGTGCAGGAGCTCCCCCTCCGAGTTGCTGAGCAACTCGCTGGGCCGAAAAGTGACGGCGTGGGTCGGTCGGTCCTACCACCTGAGGCGTACCGACAGGAGCGAAAAATGGGTGAATTTCCCCTGCAAGTTCAATCATTGTACCCTAGGGCTCCTGGCCGCCCCCTCCTGAGGTTCGGTGATTAGGGTAAGTGCCAGGGGGGTTTAACCACCTTCTGAGGATATGGTTGGAGCCCTAGGGGTATTGAATTTGGAGCTGACATGTTCTCCACTCCACCTGAATTTTGTCCACGTGCCTTTTCAGAGCGTGGTTTCAGCTGTGAGGAGGTGTCGGCAGATGAGTTGATCTCCACCATGCCTACGTAAGTGACCCGCTGAGTAGATTGAGTAGACTTTGTGTAGCAACCGTCCAAACTTGGCCCTTGGCAAGGGGTCACTGGGATTTCTAGAATATGTTGTTTTTTGGGATACTCTATGTACGGCATACAACATATCATTAAATATACTACTAATCATTACTATATGTGAGTCAATATGACATGAACATGATGAACCAGTTCACTGATCGCATCCAGGCTGTTGCGTTACGGGACTCTATCCTCAAGGAACAAAAGCTTGATCCACTTGAGCTAGCTGAAAGAACACGGGTGAGCAGCATGATACTTTTTGAGAGCCAATTCTGAATGACACCGTTTTAGCTGTTTCACGTGTCAGTGAGCTTCTTGAGTTCTCCAACAGAAGGGATCCGTAGGGATCGCGTAGGGATCGGGTTATCCACCCGATCCACCCGACGGAATCCCTACGTGCGTCCAGTCTGACCCAGGTGTTCACCATGTTTGCATGTAAAACCTTCTCCTTTTCCACATACTCCAGTCAAGACCTCATGTCTGACCCAGTAAAACCATGTAAAACCTGGTCCAAATGACCTCCATCTCCAGGTCCAAATGAGGTCTTGACTTGTAGGGTATCGATGTATCGCGTCGGACCATGGACACCGGGGTGGGTTTCCTTTGGTCGGCGGTCCAAGCATGGAAGCCCTGGTCACATCCACTGGATGGATCACAACCCGCCACCCCAACTCGATGGAAAGCTCCGATCGGAGCGATGCCAGTTTCGCCCCGTTCGGGTCGCGTCCGAGATCTCGCTCCGTTCGTAGTATACGGCCATTGTTACTGACAGTAGTATACGAATGCTTCCTTCATTTTCCGAAGCTCTTTTGGACAGTACCACTACCCCCTAAGAGTCCAGGACTCAGACTCCATTCTAAGTGGTGGATTCTGACCACCAGGTGAAACATGGAACCTTCGGGGCTTCCAAAAGTCACCAGCTTCTGAAGAAGACGGCTCCCCAACTCCCAACTGTGTGACACCTTGCCTTGGTCCTTTTGGTGACCTCCAACGGTAGATCTCAAAGGGTTCCTTTGTAGATCCCAAGAAGTCCTCCGGATGGAGACCCCGTCGGGCCGACGTGGCTGAAGAAAAGCGACGCCTCGGGCGGTTGGGCGTGGCGCTGAGGCCCTGTGGTCCTTTCTCTCCGCTGAAGAGGTCGCGGGACGGGGTCGCCATGGAGGAATATGAGGAAGAGAGGATGAGTGAACTATAGGATCTAAGATCTTTTTGATGATTGGCGAATGGATTTCAGAGGCTCTCTGAATTTACATTCCACAAGTCGTTCGACATTTTTCGGTATTTTGCGAGGGTTGTGAGCATCTGCTCTTCCGGTTGACTGCCAGATGGGGCCAATTTGCAAATATATAATTGTTTCATCAATCGATATGATCGTGTCCCCTCCCTTCGTCTCCCACAGGAGTGTTCAAAATCCATAAACCCTGCTAATTAGACTTGACATCGCAAGCATAAGACATGAATGATCCAGTATTCCCTCTAACATGAATGATACACAATTTCTAACTAACAGTTGCATCCAAAACTGAAAAAAGACAACACCTGACATTCTACTTCATGTTTCGGAGATGATCAATCTCCGATCTCCCCCATCAGTCCCATCGATTCCCGACTCGAGGCGCATCTCATCATTTGCTCTGAGCCCACCTTGGAGGCTTCGGAGCTTCGGCACTTGGCACACTACGAAGGCGCGGAAGGAGCAGAAGCAGATGTGAGGGTTGAAGACATGTTGAAGAAATGAATAGTTAAACCATAAAATCAAAGCATGTAATGTACCAGGACACCCTAAGGGGCTTCTATTGATACCCCCTTGGATGTTAAGGGGTGTCCATTAACCACCCCTTGTGGGTCCTGGTATGCATCAATGAATAATATCTAAGTTGATATGATGCATCAAATCGAACTTAGATATTCTCGGTTTGGTTTGGTCACAAAGGTTTGCCCATACAGGTGACTTGGACTCCAAGGTCAAGTATCAGAAGCTGGTTGTTTCTTTTTGGGAGGCCATCACTAGTAGGTTTGAGGCCATCACTTCTAGGTTTGAGACTTGGGATTCCTTGTTTCTTTTTTGGTTGTCTCCATTTGCTCAAACTCAGCCATTGCGCACCTTTGTTTCACCTGAACTCCACCATGTCTTTTCAACTCCTTCCGCGGCAAGAATTCCGTTCGGCTTTGGTGGAGTTGCATCATGGCTGCTGCTGGCCACGGATTGTCTATGCCCTTCTCATGATTGACTTCCTTTCCCACTTGACCATTGTCATGCTAGCCTGGCAAAGTACCATCTTGGTGCTGCCAGCCTACTTGCTCGTGCATTTGGCCATGGCGGTGTACATCCTTGGCGCCAAGGAAGCACTGGCACCGCTCTTCTGGTTTTTCCCGCGACGAAGCACATTGCTGAATTTGAGGGAGGACATCACAGGGCCCACGCACAGCAAATGGTGGTACATGATCAGCTATGGCCTGAGACTCGCTATGCTGGCTGGATTTCTCGTTTGCTCTGCAGTCATGCCACTCAAGTTGAAGAAGATCAACACCTTGTGGAAGATTCACGAGTCTTGTTCGCAAACAGCTCACCATGATTGCGAAAGCTTGCCTGCTTGGCTGAAGCAGGCCTGGTGGTCCTCAGGGGCCACTTGTTTTGTCCACTTTGAGTGGTACCAGAGCTGCCTGGGAGGCCTTCCCTGGTGGTTGCAGGCCTACTGCGATTCTGATGCAGCAACTTGTTTCGCCAGTTCTTACGACCTGTCCAGCCTTCTTTGCATCTCCATCTCCTTATCCTTGATGTTGATGCTTCTTCGGAGGCTTTTGTCCTGGATTGGTCGCTGCTTCCAGACAGACACCTACGACTCATTGGATTTCGAGGAGAGAGGCCTCACCGGCCCGTCACTCCAGGCAGACGCGAGTGAGGAGGCACCAGACCTGTGGGCTCAAGCAAGAGTGTACCGGGTCATCCTTCTGCTTTTTCTCGACCTCTTCACCGATGCCATGGGTGTGGTCCAATATGTCTTCACCGGGAACCTAAGCTTCGCGGTCATCTCGGCAGCCATTCTCAGCACATTTCTGGTGCAGCAGGTGCGAGGAGGAGGCGGCTGGTTCAGGTTCAAAGAAGAATCTTTGGAGTCTCTGAAAGTCGGCAAAGTGACCGATGGCCTTCAGATCACCTCTCTTTCCCAACAGCTCGTGGTTGCCCCGTTGCAGCTCTTCTTGCAGTCCTACAGTGTGGAGTTTGTCTCCTCCAGCAGCTTGGTGCTGGTGTCCTTGAGTCTTTCGATGTTGCTGAGCTTGGTTTCAGTCGCAGATGCTGCCTACACGCTCTTGGAATTGGATTTGATGCTGCACATTCGTCGCCTGAGATAAGAGAACCGAAAGACCCTGAAGAGTTCGGCTAAAGCTGCACGAAGAACTGCGGTGTTTGGGTTGGTTCTTCGGGTCTTCGATGCATCGTGCATGAAAATGGTGTCGGAAGCTCCTAGGGTCGGCGCGCCCAAGCGGCCTGGAAGGGGTCACGGGTGGGTCGTATGGTGGGGTCCACAGCAACAATACTAGGTGATGGTTTCGGATATTTGTATTTTCAACCCTTACTTGGGGATGAATGGACCACCAACCAGAATAGTTGTTTTTTTCTCCGAGATGCATGAAACTCAACTAGGTTTTCACCTGGTATCCTTCGGAGTGCTTTTCCGCGGCGCCCCTGCTCCAGGGCTGATGGAACTCAGTTGATCTACTCAAAAGACATGATCTTATTTAAGAACCCACTCGACTCCTCTTGACTCCTGTTTTGATGCAAGAAGATCATACTTTGGGTGGCTTGTGATCCAAAACAACTACTAAATTGGTCACTCAACACTCACAATTGCGTGGATATAGATCTATGAAATCCAAATGAATACATGCACGTCAATACATATACATGGTACTGTTGTCCATTAATTTGGCCTCCCCATATCCCGCATGGCAGGCTATTCCAAAGATGATCCATACATCCAGGCACAGATTGCGCAGTGTGCGCCTAGTGAGTCAGAGAACTGGGAGAATTGGTGCAGTCGAAGTATTCTTCCTGCCAAAGCGTACTCCAACGGTTCTATTTATTAACAGCTGCAGGTGTTCTTATCACCGATTTTGGGTGCATTGGTATCCCTTACTGGTGACAGGTTGACAGAAGTCTTTAGGATCTAAAGAACAACTTTATTCTGGACCTGAGCCGTCCGTGACCTCTTGGGAGCGTGTGAAGTTTGGCCAGGGCATTTGTGATCGAACTGGGATATCCAGTGGGATATGGCAGCGGTTCGACCCAAGTCCTGGTCTACCCTAGCAGCTAGCGGTCCGAAGGATGAACCACCGAACCACTGGAAGAGTGCTCGTGCTCTTCCAGCGGGCTCATCTCTGGGACTTTGGACCTGCCGTTTCGTCAGGATTTCCACATGCTCCATCCTGGGTAAAGGAGACGAGACACCCACACCAGACACACGGAAAGCACATGGAAGCACCATGAATTGGCCGGACCAATATATTCTTCGTGCCGGTGCCCCCCCCTCCAGTTCAGCACGAAGGGTTGCGGAGGTTCTCCTATAGGCCTTGCAACTAGGGAGACCGGAGACCTTCCATTTCGATTGGTGTGGAAGAAGGATAAATAGATCAACACCCAATGGTCGGGTATCTCCCCCTCCCCATTCAAATACACATATATATATGCATCCATTTTGAGAGTCCGTGGCTTCGGTGGGACGTCTTCTCCCTTTGAGACGACTCACTCTCCGCGCGCTACGTACGGCGCGCGCGGAACTGCGCAATCGCGCAACGCGGAACCCAGTCCTTCTGGAAGATCTTGGAGTCCTTCGAGACGGATCAGCTCAAGAAGCTCCTTTTCGGAGGAAGATGGGCCGGGCCGGGCAAGGCCCCAAGATGCCGAAGAGGATTTGTTTCGTTCGATGCACCCGGGAAGAGCATCCTCATGCATCCGGTTTTTAAACGAGGAACACGTGATTTGTTTGGAAAGGGCTTTGGTGTTTACCAATCAGTATATAATTATGTGTTTTTTCATTTCATTTCGCGACCGTTTGTAGGCAGAAGCCTATGGCGTTAAGCCGTCCGTAGACAAAAGCTGAATTCTAGCTGTTCACGCCCGTCACGTCAACGTGCCAAGTACACGGAGCGACAAACTATGTACAGCCAGGGGCACCCCGTCACGCCACACCTTCGGCAGCGGAGGTAAATGCCCAGATTGCATCGGATCCACGGCAGTGCTAGGACCCATGTAAGCCGGCCTCTCAGGAATGGCATCCTGTAGCTCACGAAGTCGGTGCACGTGTACCGCAAGATCGTGAGCTTGTAGGAGATTCGGCCCATCATCCCAGCCACTGATCACGTGGCGCCACCACTCCAAGTCTTCCCCTTGTAGGTCAGCATGCATGCACCAAATGAAGAAAGCTCCCAGCCATTCTCCAATGGGAAAGTCATCCCAAAAATGCTGCATGTCCTCTAGGGTCAGACGCTCAGAGCACTGGCTAGCAAAAGTCCGAAAAAGGGCTGCCTTACTGTCATCATCAACAGCGAAGGAAACTCCCCTCGAAAGCAGATCACGTCGTAGCTGCATGAACTCTTGCTCAGCATAATCAAGGTCATTTTCATCTGCGCCCAGAACATGTGGTCCAACAAGCGCGATGGCATCTTTTCTCGTGGCCCCAGGGAGAGCCACAAAGTTGTCCGCAGGCAAGTCATCTCGCTCAGCTTCAAAACGAGCAAACATGCGAACCCATGCCCCGCACCTATTTGGACGACCCTGCCTTGAGACATAGCGCAAATGTAGTTGGAGCCTGTTGACCGTCCAATAGTGGCAAAGGCATACAGGGCATGTCGCCCCGTGAATGCGTCCGTGTTCAGGATTGCGCCACTCATGCTTCTGGATGCGATGCAACCTCAGAGCCTTGCTATTCCCGAAGAAAGCACCACATTCACATCGAAACTGGGCTTGATGGAGAAGGTCCAGCAAGGTATCTTCCTCACCTCCTCGAACCAAAGCACGGCCACACATGCGAGGCAAGAGCACTACATGTTTCATGCCAGCCTGTTTCACCATTCGCTTCCATCCAGGCCGTCCCTGCTCCCAATGGAGTTGAAGCTCCTCAGGGGTAGTGCCCCATGTGCTCAAATCCATCGCGGAGGCGAGCCACTGAAGATCTTCAGCAAGGCCTGCGTGCCATCCATCCGTTAGCTCCGTGGCCTCCTCCTGAAGTTCCTGCAGCACAAACTGTGGCCCATGTCGTGTCAACCGGGCCGCAAGAAGGAGACGATGCTGCGCCAGCCGGACTCTCACCGGCACACAGCCAGCCTTGACCAAGATCTCCACATCAGTCATGACTTTATTCCCCTCCACCTTATTTTGCCGAAGAGTTCGGCGCAACATATTCCCTTGACATACTTGGAGTCGTCGCATGTCTTGGGCACGTAGGAGAGGCCATGAGCCACATCCATAGTAGAGCTTGGTGAAAACCAGGGCTTCCAAGAGAAACAAACGTGTCGCTTCCTTCAAAGCAGAATTGATAAAGAGCTGCCTCGACATAGATCGAAAAGCCGTCCATGCCTGTCCAATCCTCCGATGGATTTCCTGGCCAAGGAGACCTCCCGCTGACAAAGTAGTGCCCAAATGCTTATACTGAGCACCAAGCATCAAGGCACGCTGACCAGGGCCCAAGCAAAAGGATTCGAGTTCCAACCGAGGTTGCAAACGCAGCTGCTCTCGCATTTGCTTGGCTCCCATTCCGGCCGGTGTCAGCAGCGCTTCACTCTTTCCCTTGGACATGTTGAGAGTCATCCCTCTCTGAGCAAAGGCGAACTCAACCTCAAGGAAGATGCTCCCCACCTCTCTCAACAACTCATCATTGGTGGAAGCGAGGACCGGCACCGCTAGGTCATCAGCCCAGACAATCTGCGCGCCTCTGGTAGCGCATTGCTGCCTCATCTGCTGCTGCTGCACCCTCGCACTAGTGGTCTTCTCCAAGTCAGCCACCACAGGACCCATGAGGCAATGAAACAGGGCATCCGCCAAAGGGCTACCCGGCCTCGTACCTCTTGTAGTTCGGACCGCCTCACCATTCAAAGTTGCCCATGTGCGACTGTGCAATTCTCGAAGGAGGTTGGTCAGCATGCAATCAGGAAGAAGGCCTGGCGCCTTCACAAGCTTTTCCACTATGTCAGGCACAAAGCCTTCTCGGAGCAAAGCTTCCTCCAGTATGCACCTGTCCTTATCATCTCCAAGTTTCGAGCCCAGGACAATCTCCCTCACCACCGAGTGAAAGGCAGCCCGCAAATCAACAAAGATGACCGCAGCAGGAACTCCTCGATGATAAGCTCGCCTCATGAAGGTTTGAACATACAAGCTGCCAAATGCACACTCTTGGTGAGCAAAGCCACCCAGCTGTCCAGGAGGCCGGTCAATGTCAGCCCATGCCATGACCTGAGGTCGTAGGAGTGCATGTACACGGCGGACAAAGACTCCGAGAAGCATAATGCCCCGATACTGCTCAGCTGACACAGGCATGGGGACCTTTGGCAGCATGTGAAGAACCCCTCCTTTCCATTGTACGGGTTCTTTTGCCGTCAGGTGCATTTTCAAGACCAGATCAAAGACCCATGGTGCAAGTGAATCAGCCCCGGCATGAATCCATTCAGAAGGAAGACCGTCCGGCCCGGGAGCTTTCCCAGGCCTGGTACATCGCAGTGAATTTTCCACCCGCACCAAACTAGGGATCTCCTCCAACTTGCACATCATGCGATTGGAAGCAACTTGGGTGTCTTCTGTGAGCAACTCCTGGTAGAGGTTCTCCAGGCGTTCATGTGCTCCTGCCTCCAACTTTTCAAGATGAGGGCGCCACTGGTCTCGTAGAGATTCCTGCTGAACTGCAGGTCGAGCTTGCTGGCGCGCCCGGTTCTTCGGCAAATGTCTCTTCACCAAAGTCCAGAGCTCCTTGACCCTAGCAGGTTGATCACAGGTTTTCCACTCCTCCTTCAGCGTGTCAAAGAACGCCCGGGTGTCTTGCCGCTGGAGAGCAGTGGCACGATTACGAACCTGCCTGAATGTCAGGGACAAAGAGACCCACAAACGAGCCAGGTGCCAATCAATGCATTGATAGGGTTGCAGGTTCAGGTTCCCTCCTCGACAGTGAGCCCGCCAGGCAAGGAAAATGGCCTCCAACCCCAGGAGCCGTCGCCCATGCTGTAGATGCAAGAGTTGCCCCCGTAGTTCAGCCTTGTGTCGAATAACAGCACGTGTCTCCTCCGAGAAATGCGGCTTCCGATGAAAGGGCTGCCTCCTAGGGATAACATGATGGACTCCTTCGGAGAACCTGGTCGCAAGTTCTTGGGCATGTTGGTGCACATCCAGCCTCCAGTCAATGGGTAGCATATACCCCGTAGCCCATGTCATTTGCATCCTTGCTTCCGCGTTGGTACCAACAGGCTGCAGAGGCATAGGTCGCTTCACCTGCACACAGGCCCTATTACCAGGCAAATGGCATTCAAACTCCACACTGACACTGACAGCATGATGATCGTGTAGGTGCCCATGTGCTTGAAGCTGAAAATCCGTCCAGGAAACCATGGAGGTGAAGTGCCAGCCAGCCGGGACTGCAATGAAGTCAATCCGGCTCTGCTTGCCCGCAGGGTGCGTCCAAGTGTGCCCTGGTCCTACATGAAACTCAGAGAATGTCGATGGCACCCAAAGATGCTGAGCCAGCAGAAATTCATGAAAGCACGCACCATTATCATTCTCCTCCTCAGCATAATGCCCATGTACTGCCGATGAGATACGAGTTCCCAATCTAGCATTGGCATCTGTCAGCACAATCATGTCAGTGTCCTGCAGATATGGCGGCAAAGCAGATCTGATAGAACTCCAAAAAGCCTCGACCTCCTTAGGCGAGTGGCCAGTATGTGGTGCATGGGCCACAATCACCAAAAGATCTAAGGAGCCATACCACACCCGTGCTATAAGTAGCTCATGGGTACTAGCCACCACTGAGATATGCTTCTCCGCCAAAGCTTCTTTTGCTTCACCTTCTCCATGTACCCGGAAAAGCTTTCGGTGCAAAGCAAGGAGAACTCCTCCCTGTCCCTTATGACAAGGATGTGCAACCGTAACATACTCCGGGTGCCCAAAACGGAGACGCTTAAGGCGCGTTTCTTGCAAAGCCACTATTGCATAACCCTTGTCATGACACTGATCCAAAAAGCTGGCTGTGGCAGCATGTGCGGACACATATCGTTGGGACAAGGTCAAGACATTGCATGAAACCGCTCTCAGCTGAAGCTGGACAGGCTCTGCAGATCTCATGTTCGTCTGCCAGGACTTGAGCTTTTGTACAACCTCGGCATCTTCCTCATTCATAGGGATTGGAGGCTGAAGGCACCCAGCACACCAAAATCTCCGAAGATCATGTCGAGCCAGCATCCAGAACCACTGTACAAAGAGGCTTGGAAGTGTATCTTCAGAGCAAAATCCCTGCCAGAATGGTTGTGCCATAGAATGCGTAGCCGCACACTTAGCCATGATGTCAGCTGCTTCATTGCCCGGATCTCCTTGGTGGCCATAGACATGTGAAGCTTCAATCTCGATGCCATGACCATGCTTCAAAAGGTGGTGTAGTCCTCGTGCCTTCATGGTCAACGGATCACGAGCTTGGCACCACCCCAATGCCGATCCAGCAGCGGAAGTCGAGTCGTAGTGGCATACAACCCTTGGCGTCCAGGCCCAATGCCGCCCTTGAGTCCTCCATAGGTCATGAAGCCACTTGGCTGTCAACATGTGCGCTACCACCTCTGCTTCAAAAGCATTGCGTCCAACCTCCAGCTGATGAGCGAGG